CCAAAAACAGAAGAGATGTAACACCGCAAAATATACACAAAGAATATGAAAGAGTCTCCATCGATCAATCTTTTTGATATCGTAAATACTTTCCAACCAGGTAGACAAAGATACATTTTCGGTGTAAATGTTTGATTGTTTACAAAAGGAAAAAAAGAAGATTGATAATTAGTAATCACAATGATAAGTATCATTTTTTGGTTTGAAAAAAATTGTTGAGGAGAAGGATTCATCACCACTAAATATACGTTTGAATTTCCATTCATAAGCAAGAAGATATTTTGTAAATAGTTCCTAAATAGTGTTCGGAATCCTCATACGAGGACGGGTTGGGGAATGGTTGGGATTAAAGCAGTATTGATAGGGGTTCGGAGTTATATCCTATAGCAAAACTTAATATATAGAAGTCGCATACAAGTTTAAAATCTAGGTCAAATGTGAATTCATTCATAGAGAAACTGAGCGTAACTATCAGCAGTGAAAGACATTCAGTGGCATGTCTTTTGAGAATCGATAATCAACTATATGTGGTGTTAACAAAGGAAATTTAAACCTTGATTAAAGAAACTATTGGCCTTTGGTGATTGTAGTTAGACATAGGGATATTAATTTGCTAGAGGTCTACAAAATTAATAAAACACTTGAGGAAACAATACAAAAAAATAACAATTAACCTAGAAACAAATTTTGAATTGCCACTTATAGTTGTATCTGCAATCAAAGCAATTTGCATAATTCTCATATCTCTCTCGACCTAAAATTCCCATAAAAAGCAACAAACAATTTTGTTATGCTATTTGTAACTAATGGTCATTTTCTGGAACTAACATTATTATTATCAGAAAGATATACCGTAAGCCGAATGGACATAACATTATATCGAAGCTTTGAAGGAAAATCGAAAATTGATTTTACCTTATCCATATATTTGTTTGTAGATGCCTCTAGTTGAAATGCCATCAAAATATTACACAACCCAAATGTAGTTTTACAAAGAAAAAACATAGAATAGTTAAAGAGACTCACTTGTTCCTTGTGCCCTTGAGGAAAATAATAATAAAGAATTGTAAAATTTTGGACGATCTGTCAAATTCCAACACATAATTTATATACGTCCTCGTACATATAGCTTTAAACATTATAATGGAACACGTACCTGGGGAAAAAAACTTACATCAAATTTCTCAATTATGCCAAAAACTCTAGGTTGTGCATTAACAACTTCAATATTCGTCATCAATCTCATAGATGAAAGAAATGTAAAAAGAATCATGATTAATCCGAAAATACAAAAAAAAAAATGATTAGCAACAACCTTCGTTTTAATGAGTTTGGAGATCTTCTTAATATCGCTTGTAAATGAGTTATTTTCTTCTTTAAACTATGTTTATTAATTTTCTTTTGTGAAGAATTTTATACACAATAGAATCATGTATTTAAAGGTTAAACTATACTGACATTCCATATAATTAGGTTATATAAGGAAATGACAGTGCCATATTAACGAACAAATTAATGTTTTCGATCAAATAATAGCGTTCTAAAACTATCATTGCAATATATATACCTAATGTTACTAAATTATAGAAATAGTTGCAATGATTTTAGAAGATTATTATTTGACGAAAAACTTTAATTTGTTTGTTAATATAGTACAATTAATCATTTCTTTATATTATTTTTGGTAACCTAATTATATAGAATGTCCAGTTTGTTTAACCTACAAATATATGATTCTTATTATGTATGAAATTCATTACAAG